GTCAAAGAACTTATAGCACATGGAAAGTTAGATTGAATTCATTTTACTAACCTTAAACCTTGGTAATTGTATAACATTGCAGTGAGTTTGGAGAGGAGCAGCAAAAAGTAGTTTATGGATTGAGGGAATTGATTTTTGAGATCAAAATGTTAAATATGTACTGTTTGGCACATCAAGACATGAGAACATAAATCTGCAAGTATTTGTAGATGTGCTGGGAATATTTAGCATAACTGAAAGGGTTTATAGCTAGGAGAAGTCAGATGAGGACAATCCTTAGAATAGCTTAAAAAGACCTTTTAACAGTGAGATGTATGAATTTCAGACTAAATCATCCAAAGTTAGCATTGAAAGCTTCATTTTTAATAAAAATTAAAATGAAGAAACCCTATTAAAATACAATAATAACAGTGAAGATGCTCTAGACCCTTGTTCCCCAATGTTACTATGTGAAGTAGCTATGTTTGTCAGTGGGTTTTGGAGAATCGGGCATTCTGGCAAGTCGTTACCTGTCTTCGTTGCCAAATACTTCTCTTACTTTTGGTTCCTCTTTATGAGTCGGGGTGTTGTGTATGCCTCTTTAAAGAAAAAATAAAATAAACAAGTAAGACAATAAAAAAAAATGTGGACTTAAAAACACGCATTGATTTCAGTTGATGGGGAGACTGAGCTGAGTGAGGATGTAGAAAACTTACCACACCACCCCGCTCAGCGTTTCTTGCTTAAACTAACTATAAAACTAAGGTAGAAGCAGAACTGGCGTTGAGGTTACTCTCAGCAGTGAGCCGTCATTAGAACATGACAGCTGCCTCTGATTTTTAATACTGTCTTAAATGTTACTGAAGTAAATCCTACAATGTTGCTTCGGAGTAGATGAGAATAAGATTTGGAATACCCCTGAAAGAAATTTTTAGATCAACATATAATTATCTCTTGCCTTAGGTTCCCCTAGCCCCAATCTTGTGACTGTTTTTGGAATCATAAAAAGGAATTGTGATTTCTTAAGCAGATAATTTGATCCATCGTGTCTGTACCTTTTGTTTGTGTGTTATATCCTGAATTATCTAATAGAAGGGAACGGAGGAATTTAAACAATAACTTTCAAGACAATTTAGAATTAAGTCGATGATTTTCAATTAAAAAACTTAAGACTAGGTTGAAATTATTATTACCTTAATTTTGCATGTTATTCTGAAGAGTCGTCAGATTATAAACCCCCCAGCTGAAAATAACAGCCTTTATAATACTCTTTTTTCCATGCACAACCTTCTGATGTTTAGACTTTCATCTTGAACGTGAAATTCATGGTGGATTTTTCCAACAGAAATCCCTTGGGTAAATAAGAAAGAATTGAAATAGAAAACATGTGCACATTGGGATTTTTAGTGTTCTTCCACTCTAGGGTCTGAAACAGTTTAACCCAACCTTGTTTCCTTTCCATTAGCAGTCAAAATGACAGATGGAAACAAAAGTAACTTGTTTTCAAGCACTTTAGTTCTTTATCTTAGAGTCTAGAATATACATTCTAGTACAGTTGAAATAAGTTTTCATTCAGTTTGGACTTTTAACATAATAGAATAATTTTCTATATCGATCTGTTCAGAAAAGACACGTTTTGTTTGCAGTGTTTGTTGTATTTTCCCTCAGTCATTTTAAATCTTATTTCCCAGGGAAAAGAAGTGTATATGATCATTATAACTGTTTCTACCTCCCCCCCCAAATAAATTTTGACAAAATTCAGCCAATCATATGAGGGGAAGTTAAAAACATTCCTGCACATTGGTAACTGCACAGAGAAGAGAGATCCTAATTTCTGTCCCAGTGAGGAAAGGCAGAAGCGTGGGCTCGGCGGTTGCGTGTGTTAGGTGTGCCGATTGGCATGGATGACCTCAGGACTAGCCAAGAACGTGAAGCTGGAGCTGATGCGTGAACATGGTTTGGCTCTAAAATCTCATTTAATGACACTTTGAGTGAGGTCTTTTAATTCATATCTTGCATTTTCTCACCTGCAGTGAACATTGATACAAGTAATTAATGAGACTTTATGCTAATTCTTTGTTTTCCTGGAACTTTCGTAGCCCGGCCTCACCAGTTCTCCAGAACCTTTCTCCTAGTGACATGTTAAAGGGAAAAAAAAAAAAAAAATTCTTGCTCGTTTTCAGATTTTTAGCAAGTTGCTCTTTAACCCATTCTTGTGGGGTTTTCTTTTTTCCTGCTTTTAACTTCATTTTGGTGTTGCATCTAACTTGCCAGAGCTTATACTTTGTCTTATTTTTCTTATTTGGATACAACTTCCAGTATGGGAAGTTGCTAAGGTATATATTAAAAAATCCTACTTCCATCAGTTTTTTTAAACATACTCTCTACCAGAAGTTTCACTCGCACATCTTAATATATACTGGAGAGGCAGAAGTTTGCTGTGACCTTACAGGTCTTGTCCTGTGCTCCCAATGCTGAGGTGGAAGCCAGGCTGCTTTCTCCCTCCTTTTCATTCATTACTGGTAACAGGTTAGCTACTGACTTGAGTACTGCCTTTTTTTGTTTTTTTTTTTTTTGTTGGTGAGTTAAGTAAGAGCATTTCCAGTAAGAGCTATGACTCCTCATTTTTCCTAAATTCTTGAGTTTTGGCATGTTTGCTTCAGGCACTCAGCTGCCTTTGTGCATTCTTCTCTATATTCAGTTTTCTTTGAGGTTTTATCTGAAAAGAATGAACCCTCCTAAAAAATACAAAAATAGCTTCCACATCCCCTTTTGCTTTTCTCTTTCTCTAGGAGATATGCCCCGTCTCCAGGCAGTGTTCGCTTGTCATTTTATGTCGGATTGCATATGACATTGCTATCACTGCTGTGGCCTGAACTGTAGCCTCCCGTGCTTGTTATAGGAGCATTTCCATCTCAAGGACTTGCGAGGTAGCACTTCTGTGCATGCTCTGAAAATGATATTTCTTGATTTTTTCAAAAGAGAATTGTATTTTGCTCTAGAGAACCTGCTTCTAAAACAGAAGAGCAGTTCCTACACTCTTCAGCCACTACAGTTTAATTTTCCTTTGGAATGGTTTGTTTTGGGTTTAATCGCAAAATAATGTGCAGTAGGATGAACATACTTGGCTGCCTGAGACACTCAACTGTACGTTATGGAGTCTGAATGCATATAACTCTTGAAAAGTTTAGTAGTTCATATCTACTCGAAGATATTTCTGGTTAACATGAGAGAATTTCTTTTAATTTCAGAGAAACTATGCTATTCTACCTCCTGTCAAACTCACTTAAATGGAGTAGTTCCATTTACTTTCATGGGACTTTGTGAGCAGTAGGTCTGGATAATTAGACATTTGTATCTTTCATTTACTTGCGTTCTGGTGAATTTAGTAGAATTTTTATTCCCATGACAAATTTTTTCCCAAGTTCATTTTCTGATGGAAAATTTTGCTGTGGTGAAAAATCTCATGACCGAGGGAGAGGAGTGTTCATTTATTTTTTTTTATTTATTTTCCCGGGGGATTAACTTTTGCGAAACGATTGAATAAAACCGGAATTAAGGCTATTTTGTGTGCTGTGCTTGCTGTTGAGCACGGTGAAACTAAGGGCAAGGGGGGAAACAAGCATGCGGACTTTTAGGGCCCAGCTTTAAGTAAGCTTTCACTTAGGCTCTTCAATTTGAAAATACCTAAAATCACCTGAGAGCTAAGTAAGAACTCAGCTCAGCACAGTTATTTACTTTTTTGCCCCTAAAATTTAACCTGCATAGGTATAATCCTTTAAAGCATGTTATACCTGCATATTATAGTTATGGGAAGGACAGCTCTGATGACCCTCACCTGACAAAGGTATTTCTCCTCCTTCCTGTTGGGGCGCTGCTGATTGCGTGTGAGCTCTCCCTGCCGTCAGTGCAGCTGGTGCGGTCTCCTCCTGACATGCGATGCAAGCGTCTTTCCCAGCTTTGAGATTCTGGTAGCAACGATACGTGATGCGGCGGTCCGCAGTCTTCATATGACAGCGGTACTACCTTCCGCTGTACTTTGCAGTGCCAAGTCAGCTAATTTTGGTCCACATGCGTTTAAACTTCAAAATCATATTGATAGTTAAGCCTAAATGGTAGTGAGGCTTAAGAAGGCTGAGAGAGTTCTCTGTTGTTAATTAGCTTCTTGGGAAGTTTTGAATTTCAGGGTAGACTGATAAAGCGTTATCAGTCACAGCCATATGATTGCGTCTGGCATAATGGTATCTGATTCTATTTTTTTCTTTCTTTTTCTTCTGTATTTTACTCTAATCTTCACTGAATGCTGCTGCTGGTGGTTAGTTCCACAAGGAGAAAAAGTATATAAATAACTTTTACCGTAAAGTTTCTTTTGTGGAGCTTTGTCAGTACTATTTCCCAAGACGATCAGAAATGCAGTTGGTGCATTCATCACGAAAGATTTCTAGGGAAATTTGGGTTGGAAAGACAGTGGCTGACAAATGTAAGGTTTTCTCTGAGGACTGCGTGTGTTTGCCTTTCTTTCAGAAGAGACCGAGTTATCTCTCTTGGAGTAGTTAGTATAATGTAGAAAGTATTCCAGCTGCCAACTTTGCTTGCTCTGTAGGCAGAAGAACTATAGCAGTACATGGAATTGCTCCCTTTTCCTGGGCAAGGATTTAAATTTTGCTTGTAACTTTATTTCTTAAAAAGCTATCTATCTAACTGTCTTAAAAAACATCTATCTTAAAAGACATCTGTCTAACATGAACGCTCCAAAAACTGAAAAAAAAAACCCTGTGACTTTTTGACGGAAGTGGATCTAAAAGCTGCAGAGCAAGAACATGTACAGGAGACCATAAGATATGGGACTTGTGCAGGTCATATCATTGAACTCTTCTTTTCTTTGGCGATATATGCTGCTGTCCAGTCTTAGTGAAAAAAATGAAGCATAGTTTCCAGTAAAAGAATATACATATATATAATCTAATTATTCTGTGGTGTGCTGTTGAAGCTGAAATATTCTTTTCTTCTTCTCCGAACAGCACCCGACAATGCCATCTACTTCTTGACGTCTTCAATTCTACAGAGCATGAGTTGACCATTAGCGCTAAGAACAACGAAGATTTAATTCTGCACGCGGGGGAATGTCAGCGGTGAGTGCTTTCAGTGTTAGAAGGGCCCGATTTGTAGCCCTGTTACTTCTCTGCGTGAACCCTGTTGATGTTATTTGGGGTCTCTTTTTCTTTTTAAACATTTTATACGTGTCCAAGAATACAGTAATTTTATTTACTTTAAAGGTACATAATTGATTTCAAGTAATTTCTCAGTTGAATTCATTTGACTGTGAATCTAGAAAGACTGAAAATAACAAAACATAAAATAGTTGGTTGGGAGATATACAAATGGATATAGCATTGACATGTCTACTTTAGCTGTAATTTCCCAGAATGTTTTAATAGCATTTTCATGCATTTTAAACCGTTGTTCTGATGTCAAAACCTGAACTCACTCGCTTGTCACCCTTTCACAACTGGTGAGCTAGTCTTTTCTCCCAACCATTTCATCAATTTTAATAAAAAGAGAACTGAAGGAAAGACAAATAGAACTGAAGAAAAAGCAATGACAATTTCTGTGAAAAAATAGTCTAGGTTAAGTAGGCTGTTTCATGTATTGGTTCTTATAGTCCTGCTATGATGTAATGTAAAGGCAGTTTTCTAGCTAACTGCAACATAACACACTGAGGAATCATTTGCCATAATAGATTTTCTTCCTCAAATTTCTGCCGTTAGCTGTGCCTGGGTGTATTGTTGCTTGGCTTATGTCCCTCGGACAACCATTACGTCTGGGTGATGTCATTTTCTTCCTGAAAAGGTGAAACTGTGAAGAAGGAAATGTTTCAGGTTGGTCATTGATCACGGAATCGTTTAGGTTGGAAGGGACCTCTGGAGATCATCTAGTCCAACCTCCCTGCTCAAGCAGGGTCACCTAGAGCATGTTGATCATCAGCACAGGTCACTTCCCCTTAGAGAGAGCTGCGCTGCAGTCTCAAATCATGCAGCAGAGAATAGAAGAGAGAGAGTTTGGTGTCTTCACTGTCTCAATCGAATTATTAAGTTCCAAGTAAGAACAGAGCTTTTGCAGGGCGTGCGGTTGCGCGAAAAAGAAATTGAGAATAGCGCACAACATCAGGAAAGTTGGGAGCCTTTTGGCCGTTAGTCGCTCCGATACTGCAGCCATCACATCAGCTCAAGCTGAGGCTGAATTTTAATGTTCTTTTCTTTCTTGAGGAATGGACAGAAATATCACTAAAATACAGCATTTGTAACTTTTGCATTTTACTTAGAAAGCCGTGGTCTTTTTTGAAAAAAGCAAACGCAGTAGTCACCAAAATGGGCATATTCTTATATCCATGCCGTGTGTGTAATTTTGTTACTATCACTCTTGCTATTTCCCATTGTTTTTTAACATCATGTATTTGGTAAGGTCCTTGGAATAATAATTTCTGCCTCCCAGTTTTTGTGGTGATAGTAATAAATAGAAATAATGCTACAAATAATATTATAACGTCACTTTGCATCTCCTTGGCTGAATTGCTTTCATTTTCCTATGGATTTAATGTTTGAAGGTTAAATATCCTTAAATCGTTGTGTTGTAATGGATATAAACCTTTTCAATAAGTCCCTTGAAACAGTCATTTATCAAGGAGGATTGTGTAACTGTTGCAAGTATTTGGACCTTTTAAGGATAATGATTTTAGTCTTACTGTAAAATATTGTTTTTACTCCCCTTTAGAGACTGCCCTAGGTTTTCTATAAGTTCTACACTCATTTGTTTTCTATTTCTTGAATGGTAAGCTGTTAATTTAACTCTGTATATGGCTGCTATACTGCTTAAAAGATTTAATTTTTATTCTGATCGATCTACTGGAGAAATTTAGATGGAGCATAACATGGGCCTTAACATTAGCAAATTCCTAGCAAAGGGCTTCTGTTAGTCTTATGAAAAAAAGAACAACTCGGAAATCTTCCCCTTCCTTGGGGCAATGGTTCTAGATCCTTCTGTTTTAACATCAGCCAGCCAACTTTGAGGGTTTGTTTTTCAATCAGGTGTTTTCAGTCTGAATACACAGCGTTTTTCAACAAAGCCTACTCTTAGATTCTCTTTTTATCCTTTTTTTCTTATCCTTAGATGCTGATTTTTGCTAATATGTGATCGATGTTTGCGGTGAGGGTTTTAGTCAAGTTCAGGTTTTTTCTTTTTTTTTTTTTTTTCCTTACCGTCTCGATTCCTTCCTCATTCTTAACGTTTTCCTCACTGCGCTTTAAATTAAATTGTAACTTTATCTCCAGTTCCAACGTCGGTCACTCGCGGTTCCTTTTGTACAGCACTAATTTAGTCTCCCTCCATTCATCTCCATCATTTTCAAACCTCCCATCCCGACCAGTGCAGATAGCAGGAAATTGGCTTCATCTTTCCTGTTCGTACTACTAGAGCCGGTAAGTGTTTCATATTCCCTCCCTAGCAACTTGTAAAAAAGGGATTGCACTGCATCCTACTTACCGCTCATTTTTTTTTGCTTCCCTCTTTGTATACCAAGAAAGTCAAATAACCAGGAAGCCTCTGATGTGTTGCTTCTGCTTTGGTCACTCCATAACACAGGAAAGAATATACAGAATAAAACTCCTGGGCGTGCTAGGAAGGGATTTGCAGGGAAGTCTTATGTTGCCCTTGCAGAAAATGCCAAGTGGCGATGAAAGGCTTGGGATGCTGTAGTTATTCCTGCACTGCCAAATCTTGGCAAGCTCTTGCAGAGTGGAGCAGTGCCTGGTACATCCTGCAGTAACCATATTATTTGGTGCGTTCCAGGTCCCTGCTGTTCTTGGGTAATGCTTATTGGTGTTAACGTAAAATGGGACAAATGCATAGGATATTCCACACTCCTTTCACTGTAAGGACTGAAGTTAAGTTTGCTGCAATTGATTTAGAGCTAAGGAAATGATAGATAGTATAAACATTAGGACAGCGCCACGTGCAATATGAAAAAGTGGTGTTTCGATACCATTAACAAAAGCTGCCATCCTTTAGTGCATTGAAATACTCTCTGAAAAAAATATTTTTGGTACAATAAGATTATTCTGCTGACTGATAAAGATTAGCATTTTAGCTTTTAGAAAATCTTAAGCTTACAACTTACTGTAACTTTTTAAACTGTTGATTAGGAATATTTAGTGTGTGCGTTGTAATAGTTCTCAGATTGTGTATTGAGTAATGTTTCTGAGAGGCTGCACCCATTTGCTTGCGCGTTAGGATAAAGAGTTGTAAGGAACAAGTGCTTTACTAACCAATTGTTTCTTGCTATGAAACAATGGTGTTGATGGGTTATTTCTTGACTCACTTGTTCTGTCTTTTACTGTTATGTTTTCTGTGAATGCACATATGCAAAGGAGCAACCTTTCATTTTTCCTGCATCCCAGGTTATTACTTGGAGAGTGATCTTCATACTTCCCTTTTCGGTTTCCGTAGGATTTGAAGTGTTACTTTGTGTCCCACCATGGGACAGTTACGATTAGGTTTTACTCTGAGGCCTTTTGTCCACAGAAGACTTTTTTGGAGGTGAGTAGAAAGCAGAGATTTGCATCTCCCCCTTTCCTGCAAGGTGGCACGTCCAAGAAGAGCATTGGTGTTGGAGGGTCCTTTGCTCTATTGCTGAAAGTGTGATTGGGGTTCATTACAAAGCTAGACTCAGGTTCTCTAGATCAAAACCAAATGATTTTTTGTGGCTTCCCACAGTTTTTACAGCTTTAATCTACAATCTGAAAAATGTTATTTGGACAGTTGATGTCCTGGCAAAAAGTTGTCAGATAACTTACTCTAGGGAAGAAGTTTGAACTACACTGAGTGGAACTGAGATGTCTGCAATGTCTTCAGTTAATTAAAATATTTATGACGTATAACACTGTGGTGTCCATATGCTTTGTTAACTTATTGAGTTGAAACAAATTCTCTTAAATATAGTATTGGAAAGCTCAGTCTTCAGATGTTTTCTAGACTAGTGGAGCCTACCATCTGCAAAGCTATTCCATGAAATAACTAGGCTGTTGTAGCTGTTGTACAGTTGTACATTGCTGGGCTCTGCTGTCAATGGCAAAATGTTATGAATGCAGTCAATAGTAAGTGAACTTGCTTATCACAATGATGCGGCATTTAACTGAATGTTTTGAAATGGCAGAATATACCAGATGGCTCTGGCAGGGAATCGTGTTATGTATGTTAACAAAAAAAAAGTGTTGCTAGTAGCAGTGATTTTAATTTATTGAAGAACTTAGGTATGGTAATTATTGTGTTTCTTACTTGATTATCAAACCATTAAAATTAAATTTCATGACAACCCTCATTTATGCGTAAATCACTTCATAATTTATGGTAATAGATGTTATCTCATTATGTGCCCCAGGATATCTCATTTTGTACAGCATACTATACACTGCTTTTACATTTACATTCTGTGCACAGTACATCTGGCATTTGGGAGTCCCAGCCATCGTAATCAGGAGAAGACTTAACAAGGTAACAGTCTGAGCAGATCAATCCTCTCATCTGTCTTTGTGGTACAACACAACCAAGTTGTGAAAGTCTTTCAGGTGTATGGGATGAACAGAGGCTCCATAACCGGTAGCTATAGATATAGCGGTTCTAGACATTGGAGTTTTCAGACTTTGTTGGCCTTCGTGCAAGGACTGTAAGGCTCGAAGCTTGGGGCTGCAGGGGAATAGGACTGGAGTGAGGAGTGAAGGCGTGAAGAGCACGCAGGATGTAAGAACAGATTAGGAAGAAAAGGGTCAAATGGTGTCACTCATGGCGGAAGACATCTGGTGGATGTCTTCCACTAGAGGAGCCATCTTCTCTACTAGACACTGGAGTGAGATTTAAATTTTACTGAGATTTGTATTTGTTTGGGAAGGGTAATTATTTTGAAGCCTCTGGGCGGGTGTCTTACTGGTACAGGTCATCATGAATGAAAGTATCCAGTTGCTGCTAGTTTAAATGGCAGAGGAACAAAATTAATAAGTTCTGACAACTAATTGTGACTTTTATGAAAGTTGATTTGAAATAATGTGATCAAATTCCCCCCCACCCCCTTTTGGGGCAGGGG